TTTTACTCAAAGTCGTACAACAGCTGTTTTGTATAGCAGGCTAGCTTCCCAGCCCGGGCGCCTGGGCCCCCCCAGGTCGCCCGGAAGGGGACTTGGGGCGCCCAGCCGTGCGACCCCCCCAGTCAGGCACCTGGGCACCCTCAGCGCCACCCCCCAAAAACGTCCAAAAAAGCAATTTCGTGCTGCGGGCCTACGGCCCAGAGGGGAAAAAAAAAAAGAAGAAGAAGGCCGCAAATTTTTTTGGGGTCCGGTAGGCCCCGTTTCGTCGCTTTTTTTTTTTTGCCTCTGGGCCACGATCTTCATCGATCGATGTCGCTGACGTCCCGAGATTTCGAGTTTGAATCCCGGGACTTCGCGCACGTCTGTGCACCCTCCGCCCTCCGCCGTCTGGACTTCGACTGCGCCAGTTGTTGTGGGGGAGACACTGTGCCGTCGTCGACCCGGCGAGCCATCGTCATCGTTGTCCTGCTGCACTCCAGCCGCGCCATCATCGTCGACCTCCAGCTGCGCCATCGTCTTCGCCCTCCAGCCGCGCCATCGTCGTCGCCCTCCAGCCGTGCCATCGGCCGTCTGTGCCTTTGTTGCCCTGCCGCTCTCCAACTTCTTCTTCTTCTTCTTCTTCTTCTTCTTCTTCTTCTCTCCTCCATTTCCTCGAGTTCTTTTCCTCCTCCTTAGCTTCTTCGTCTTCTTCTTCTTTTTCTTCTTTGTCGTTTCTTCTTCTTCATCGCTTGTTCTTTTTCTTCTTCTTTCTTTATCTTCTTTGTCATTTCTTCTTCTCCACATTATTTTTCTTCATCGTGTCTTCTTTCTTTTCCACTCATTCTTCTGCTTCTTCTTTTTCTCGATTGTCATCATCTTCTTCTGCTTCTTTTTCCTCCTCTTTGGTTCTTCTTTCTCTTATTATCTTCTTGTCTTTCTTCTTGTCGTCTCTTCTCCTCTTCTTCCTTCCTGTGTGCTTCATGAACTTCATCAATGAATCAGCATTTTTTTTTCTTCTCAACGGTTCGGCTCTGTTCGCCATAGCCGTCCTCCTCCCTCCATAGGCTCCCTGAGCCTCCCTCCCCCCTCCTCCTCCATCAGTCTCCCTTCCCCCTGCTCCTCCCTTCAAAGGTCCTCCCTCCTCCTCCTTCGCTTCTTCTTCCCTTCTTCTTCATCATCTTCTTCTTCCTCCTCTTCCTAATCTCAACTGTTCTTTTTCATCTTTTCGTCTCTTCTTCTACTTCTTCCTCTTCGTCATCTTGCTCCTCCATCAGTCTTTCCTCCCTCCACATAATCTCCCTCTCTCCTTCCTCCGCCATCTCCTCCCTCCACATCTTCCCTTCTTCTTCCACTCCCACCAACACACAGAAACCAACATGGCCGAAGAAAATAAATGAAGCTAGATTTGGGCTGATGCTGCAGACGGGAAAAAAACAACAACAACATTTCAGCGGATTTTTTTCATGCCCGGGGTACCCCGGGCGAGGTGCCCCGGGAAAGCTAGATAGCAGGCTGATACCCCAAAGTATTGTTAATAATTTGTTATATTGGTTGTCGCATATTGCTGGTTCGAGACTGCTGCTGTTGTTGGTTGGCACCACTACATTTTGCAACCGTTTGCTGCAGCAAGTTATTGTTGTCCTTTGGTGTGCTACTGCAGCCGGTGTTGCTACTGAAGTCCACATTACTGTTACTGGTTGATCCACGGACCATTGCTACAATTGTCATTGATGTTCGGCCTACTACGGTCGCTGTTGAGGGTTGTAGTAAACATTTGTTGTGGCATTTGTGACTTGTAACTCTGAATTCAACAATTGGCCGTCATTGCGGGACCCTCAGGAAAGGAAGACAACAAGACCCTCTCCATGCTAGTCTGCGTGAGCCTTTCCTTTTTTCTTTTAAAAAAAAAAAAAAAAAAAAAAA